CTTTGTTAAAAAAAACTGATTCTGACTGAGATTTTGACACATAAACAAACATATCTCAGCCTAACTGAACGACCGCATTGTGCGAGATGCGAAGTACAAAAAGTAATCTTATTAGAGAGGGCGCTCTTTATTGACTGTATAAAGTATACATAAAAGCGAGAGTATTCCAGTGGATGCGATCTACTACCTCTGAATTTGCCTAGTAACGATGAATTCGTCGAGAAAATGGTAATATTTTATGAGAAATAGTCTGTATTTCTCATTTTTTTTATTCTTTTGCGAAAAACTAAAATTCATGCCAATATTTTTCCATGATTTATAATAATTGGAGTAATGCAAATGCATATTTTCTAAAAAAAGTCATTTTTAGTGAAATTTTGCCGGGAATGGGGCTTTAACATTTTAAGCGGTCACTATATCATGCATATATGTTATATGATTAATAATAGTACACTTTAATCTTTGTATCTGTTTGCATTTTAAACTTCTGCCTGTCAACCCTATTACATTTTATTGAATTGTTACAATTTACAATTTTAAAAATTGTAGATTTTTTTTCTTAACTATTTATGTATGATTTTCATGTTGATATATCATGTATGAAAATCTTGTTTATATTGTGAGGGCTCTTAAAATCCAATAGTGTAATACATACTCCAAGTATCGAAATGCACGCCATCGTGTTGGGATTCAATATTTCGACATTAATTATGTCATCATCAGAAATGATATGGTTAAATAAATAAACAAAATATGGTTGAATAAATAAATAAATAAATCTATTCTAGCTACTCAAGTGGTCATTAATTTAACGAATATCTTTTAATTAATCATTGCAGGACCATAAAAGCAGTCATGAACGCAACATGTGGAAAGAGGTCACAATGGAGCGAGTGACTCGTGCTATCGACGCCACATTGACAGCGCTCTACATCATGACATCACATGACATGCCTAAAGAGGTCTTCATTGAAGATGTCATAGACCGGATCGCACAGCTTACAAAGTTTCATCTCATGAACACAATATATCCTGAGTTTGATCCTATTTACAAAGTGAAACCTGATGACAAAGGTAAACATGTCTTTAAATAATTGACATATAAAGAAATTATATATATTTTAAAATTGTAAATACTAAAATAATCATTAAATGATCAGTTGCTAAATCTGTAGATTTATATTATGAACATTATGTTAGTTGATAGCTACAAATGTATATGTTTTTAAAAGAAAAAAAAAAGTTCACACTCAGAGAATATGGCTGACAATAAGTGGCATTGGTATTTGCTCCTATGCCTGGTGAAATAACATAAAACCTATAGAGGCCTAGCCCTCTACATTGCTAAGTGTAAATGGTTAAGCATATTATGATTTTTCAACTAATGTTGCATTTTGAGATTTTTTGATGATATCAGTTACTGTACACCAATATATTTTATATTTTAATATTTATATTTTAAGTTTTGAGTTATATATATATGTGTGTGTGTGTGTGTGTCTCTAGATGTGTATAAGAGACAGTTTGTGGCTAATTCATGCATATATCCTACAAGGTTACTCGCAAAATTTGAAAATGAAACGGGCGAGGGCGCATGGTTCAAAGGAGAAGACTGTGTTGACATTATATAATAAACTGTGTGAAGTTGTATCTAATCTGTCAGAGTTATTGGATGTTCAAATTTTGACAGATTCAACTGTGTTAGTGGTAAGTTCATGGCTAAATATTTCTCACAATCATAAATGTTAGTATTTGAGGAGCTCTTGATGATGAGCAGTGGTTATGTAAGATGTGATAAAAAAAATTACCATATGTTTGACTTAAAAATAGTACATAACATTTGCTTCCAAATGTACTTTTATATGAAATTTTATTTTACATATTGATTATCTTTCTAAAACAATTTTTACTTGAAAATAATGTTTTCAGGTTATTGTAATTATAGAATATATAAATGTCTACAAAATATATTTTTTGTTTCATTTAAAATATTTTAAGCATTTAGGGCCCTATGTATTGGTCGCGCACTTTTACCATCCGTTTTTCTGCTTTTATAATTTAATATTTATTGAAGTGTGACATATTATATTTGTTGTATAACCCTAGTATAAGTTCGAACAGGACTATATGAAAAACAGGTTTTAACAACCACCTGATATGTTTTTTAATTCCTGTATAAATATGTTT